TTAAATTAGTCTACGTTTACCTGAGTGACCCCTCCTGGCGATAGAAAACGGAATACCCGACGATGTGCTCGTTGTAGATAAATATACATATATATAATACAAAAAAAAAAAAAAAAAAAAAAATTATCATCTAAATATAAAAAAAATAATAATAAATACATATATCAATAATAAATTAACTGGAAATTATAAAAATAATTATAGAAATAAAAATAAATAACTAAATATATAAGAAAAAAAAAAAAAAAAAAAAAAATACAAACATTAAATTAAATCAACACGAAAATGTAATAAAATCTGTCTACATTTACCTGAGTAACCCCTCCTGGCGATAGAAAACGGAAAACCCGACGATGTGCTCGTTGTAGATAAATATATATAAGAAAACAAAAAATACAAAAAAAAAAAAAAAAAAAAAAAAAATGCAAACATTAAATTAAATCAACACGAAAACGTAATAAAATCCGTCTACGTTTACCTGAGCGACCCCTCCTGGCGATAGAAAACGGAATACCCGACGATGTGCTTGTTGTAGATAAATATACATATATAAAAATTATAAAAATAATTATAGAAATACAAATAAATAACTAAATATATAAGAAAACAAAAAAATACAAAAAAAATTCCACACGAAAACGTATCAAAAACCATCTACGTTTACCTGAGTGACCCCTCCTGGCGATAGAAAACGGAAAACCCGACGATGTGCTCGTTGTAGATAAATATATATAATAAAAAAACAAAAAATACAAAAAAAGAAAAAAAAAAAAAAAAAAAATGCAAACATTAAATCAAATCAACACGAAAAGGTAATAAAATCCGTCTACGTTTACCTGAGTGACCCCTCCTGGCGATAGAAAACGGAATACCCGACGATGTGCTCGTTGTAGATAAATATATATAATAAGAAAAAAAAAAAAAAAAAAAAAATACAAACATTAAATTAAATCAACACGAAAACGTAATAAAATCCGTCTACATTTACCTGAGTGACCCCTCCTGGCGATAGAAAACGGAATACCCGACAATGTGCTCGTTATTGAGCCTCGGTTCGTGCCAGGCCAGGGTGATGAAGCGATTGCTTGCAATAATCGCCTGCAATCGCCGCGGAGAGGACGGCTGGTCAGGCAAAAGCAATTCCTCGTCCTCCTCCTCCTCCTCCTCCTCTTCCTCTCTTCCTCTTCCTCCTCCTCCTCCTATTCCTCCTCCTCCTCCTCCTATTCCTCCTCTTCCTCTTTCTTCTTCGTCTTCCTCGCGTTCGGTCGTTTCCGCGCCGGGCGTCGTCTTGTGCGTTCGGCTCTCTGGTATGTCTGTTTGGTGGGGGGGAAGGGGGGGGGGGAGGGGGGGTTAGGGCACGGTGATCATGATCGAAATGAATCTCATTGCAAAAACATAAGTTGCAAAAAGATAAGATAAAACATAAGTTGCAAAAAGATAATTTGCAAAAAGAAATTTTATATAGATACGTTATTTATATGTGAATATATATACATATATATAAATATCTGAATACATAATTATATGAATATTTTATGAATATATGTATATTTGTGAATATATATATATATATATATATATATATATATATATATATATATATATAAAAATACATATGTATATCCATATACATATATATACTCATATCTATCTGTAAAAACACATGTGTATATATATGTATATATAGTCAAAAGA